AAAACATAACAAAGAGGTGATAACAGCATATTGAATGGTGTGGCATTAATATGGGAGATTTTTATCGACTATTTTGGCAGACCAAGAAATGCCGTTGTATACACGAGCTAAATACAGCCATGAATATTCTGTTCAAGTGCGTCTTCCGCATCGTCAATGGAGACGAATCTGGTGAAGGCTAATGCAACACGGAGCCAGCCTATGCTTCGAAAAGCGGCGCCTAATATATGGCAACGTCTGCAAGAAGCTTGGTTCAAGTGGAGAGCATCTCAAGTCATACCAATTGGCCCAACAGTCAACGACCTTCCACCCTACAAGAAGCTAATTCGGAGATCATCCTCCAACATCCAGACGCTACCGCGACAAAGTGTGGTGAGAATTCAGCTCAAATATCTGTCTTTTCGTGATGCTTTTGGGTTCCTGGGCCTCCCTATGGTTGTAGTTGCTTTGGTTTGTATTTCCTGGACGGTTTGGTTGATCCTACTCACGATTGCTCCTAATAAGACCGCGAACGTTCTCATGAACACTGGCGACTACGACGACGGACAATTTTGGCTGATACCAGAAAAGCTAACCGCACTTCAGGTTTTCAGCGTCGTGGGACTTGTGGTAGTTGCTATATTGTATGTGTACGTACTTCTCAAAATTCTGGTTTGGCGAGCACATCGACACGTGGAAGGCACAGTTCTCGATCGGATTCTGCAACAATGTGCACCAAACCGAGAGGGTCAATTGGCAGATTTAGAGCTTTCACACAGAGTTCGACGGTTGGTCTGGGGGCTTTATATGTTCTTGAAAGAACTCACAGGTTTCCACGGGAAATACCGAAAATTATGGGTAAGTTATTCTCAGTACGTATTTTCTTAACAAAACTTACAGTTTAATAATGATATTCCAGAATTTATGTCTTAAGGTGTTCGACTTGACCATGCAGGCCTTCGTACTGGGTAAAATGCTGGAAGAGGGAATTCCAGTGCAACTTAGTGTAGGATTTGCTGGGTTTATTGCTGTCAACTCTGCTTCTTGTGTGGTTGCAATTCTCAGCGGCAAACACTCCGCGTTCTCTGAAATTCTCGTGGACTCATTGTTCGATCTTGGTGCTACAGTATTGCTTCCTATCTTGCTTCTCGCTTACTGCTCACACACATTTTACTACGACCATGATGTTTTTCTCATTTATATGGAATTGATGCCAATTGGGAGCTTTGAAAGGCGCGCAAGAATGTTCGCGAACCCGACGGAGATCGAGCTCTTTCGAGTGTGCTTTGACTCTCTTCGTATTCGTTCGGTATTGGACCTGTTCTTGCGTATTGGTATGAATTTGGGGTTTTCGTATCGTTTCAAACGCGTGGTGGAAGTCCTTATCCAGATTCAGATGCAGCGTTTACGAGACCAGCAAAATACCAGGGTGAACAAACAAACAGCGTTGACAATTCCGAGAGCTGTGAATAGTTCAAAGTCGTGCCAGATATCTGTGCCAAGGTCACTCGCACTTCTGTTTGCTGGTTTCAGTATAGGGGTCATCACAGTGACGCACAAATCTATCACGACGTCTCAGAGAATCTGTAAACCTCACCCAGAGTGTGTGGTATATGCCTACCGGTTGAAACACTCCGAGTTTTGTCCATGTAAGGCTCTAGTCAATGGGAATCGAGCTCCAAAAACTTATTACGAGTGGACACATCCGGTTGATGCTACCGACATGGTGAAAGCGCTGGCAGCAGCAGGGACACTCGAGACATTGCAGCTTATCAATCGACAACTCACTGTGTTTCCAGATGAGCTTCGTGGTTGTCACAATCTCAAATATCTGTACGACTCAGCGATGAGGTTGATAAATCTTTATTATTAACACTTTTTTT